CTGTGTACAGAGCCATGATGTGATAATTACTCATGTCTCTCATTTCTCTCTCTGTGTTCAGCATCATAATCTGATTCAACCACTCACGAGGTGTCTTTTGTCTGGGAAGATGGCAGCCATAACCCCCCCTCCCCCCCAAAAAAAAACAAACAAAAAAAACAAAACGGGAGTAATTATGACACTCAGAGGAGCCCTACGTACCACTTCCTGTTCAGGCTGGCAGGTTTAGCAATCAGACAGCTGGCACTTGATATGTTGTGAATTGTGGCAGTTTTATCTGTCTGGGCAGACTAACTGTGTAATCCCAGGCATTGTTACATCATCATCATCTTCCGTCACAACAATCCCCACCTCACCCTTCACCCATTCCTCTGTATTTCCAAGGTCAGTTGAGTAACATCCTGGCTGGGCTGATAATTTGAGAGATTGTCCCTGCAGAGATCCATCACGATTATACTGCAGGATTAATGGATTGCAGATTGATTGGTGATGTCCCCTTAACTAAAAGGTTAAGTTGAAGTGCACCTGCAGCCTCTTCAGCAATTAAGAGGAATTAAGCTATATAGGGTGTTGTCGTGCTTTTAACCTGGATCTGTTAATTTGTTTATTCTCCGAACAGCCGAATAACCACGCAACACACGTGCCTCAGAAGCGGCGAAAGAAACAAAAAGATCTTTCAATGCTCAGCCACAAAATGGATTTTAATTATGCGAGTGAGACATGCAGGAAAGCAAGGGGATACATTTATAAAAGGAAGTGCAGTTTTTCAAAGCACTCGAAGACATCCTGGAAGTGTATGTGCAACGTTCACCTGTATTTATGTTCCTTTTCTTCACTTTGCCAACAGTTCGTTACCTGCTGAGGAATAATGTGAGTCCAGACCTCTGCAATGAAGACGGCCTTACAGCTCTGCATCAGGTAAGATTATCTGTCTCCACCTGTCCTTCTTTATGTCCATCTTTGACTTTTCTGATGCCTGTTTTTTTTTTGTTTTTTTTTTAAAAGAAGATTAAGAACCTGATGTATAATTTGAGTCTCATTTTTTTAATCCAGTTTTTTTATACTGATTGTTGAATTTCCTGATTAAGACATGCAGAATATGTCAGTATGTTATGAGCATTATTTAGTCATATACACCTCCAGCTCTAAAAAAGCT